AGTAACACAGAGTATACTGACAGCATGAAGCAGGGTCACTGTGCCAGGCAGTAACACAGAGTATACTGACAGCATGCAGCAGGGTCACACTCTCTGTAACTGGAATCCCAGGTCCCCTGTGACCCCCATACACAGCCCCTGGCCCCGCACCGTGTGGGTATCCTTGGCCAGCCGGTCATGGAAGGGCCCTGGGTCACTGCACATCTCCTCCCCGGCAGCTCGCTCCACGAGCCCCGCGCTCCTCCGCTCCCTGCTGCTCCCCGCCGCCCCCTGCGGCCACACGGCTCCAGCACCGGCCAGGACCCGCCATAGTCCGATCACTAGGATTAAATAGAGCCCAAGGCCCCCAGCCCGCACGTCACCAAAAGGCCACATCGCTCCGACAGCTCGGGAAGAAAGCAGCACCTCACACTGACAGGTCCTGCGCTCTGAACTGCTGATTGGCTGGAAAGCCCATCCATCATCACCAGTCCGAGTTCTCATTGGTCGGATAATTCTCCGCAATATTAGCGAGGCTGTGTGTTGCACCTTGCATGCCTAATACAGCCGTGGTCTGCTCCGGTAACCTCTTCTGATTGGCTGCCGTATCAACTCGCGGTTTCGATTGGCTAATGATGACATGTCTGTGTTTACCTAAATCTTAGAATGTTACAAATCATGCCCTGGATAAACTGAGACAGTGAGCAGTGCTGGTCCTTGCTCCAACCACAGACTATTGTTACTGTAACATGCTGCAATTGTCCCATTTATTGTTACATTTCACCCTTCTTATAAAAGTATATTGTAAAGTGCTGAGGAATAAGTTGGCCCTACAAAAATACCAAAAATACACCCTGTTCCAAATTATCAATGCAAATTCTATTTCAGTGTCACAAAGATTAAATATTTTGTTTTTCAGTTTAACTCATGGATGGCATTGTGTCTCAGGGCTCTTTTCATCATTGAAAACAATCTCGGACACCTGTGATAATTAGATTGCCAGGTGAGCCCAATTTAAGGAAAAACTACTAAAGGAGGGTGTTCCACATTATTAAGCAGAGCACCATTTTCATGCAATATGGGGAAGAAATAGGATTTCTCTGCTGCCGAAAAGAGTGAAAGAGTTCAATGCCTTGGACAAGGTATGAAAACATTAGATATTTCACGAAAACGTAAGCGTGATCATCTCACTATTAAGAGATTTGTGGCTGATTCAGAGCACAGACGGGTTCATGCAGATAAAGGCACATTGAGCAAGATTTCTGTCAGATCCATGCATCGGATCAAGATAGCAGCTGCTAAAATACCATTACAGAGCAGCAAACAGATATTTGAAGATGCTGGTGCCTCTGGAGTCCCACGGACATCAAGGTGTAGAGTCCTCCAGAGTCTTGCAACTGTGCATAAACCTTCTAGTCGGCCACCACTAACCAATGCTCACAAGCAGAAATACATGAAGACTAATTTTCAAACAGTCCTGTTCATTGATGAGTGCCGTGCAACCCTGGATGGTCCAGATGGATGGAGTAGTGGATGGTTGGTGGACGGCCACCCTGCTCCAACAAGGCTGCGACGTCAGCAAGGCGGTGGTGGAGTCATGTTTTGGGACAGAATCATGGGAAGAGAGCTGGTCGGCCCCTTTAGGATCCCCGAAGGTGTAAAGATGACCTCTGCAAAGTATGTGGAGTTTCTGATGGACCACTTTCTTCCCTGGTACAGAAGGAAGAACTATGCGTTCCATAATAAAATCATCTTCATGCATGACAATGCACCATCTCATGCTGCAAAGAATACCTCTGCGTCAATGGCTGCTATGGGGATAAAAGGAGAGAAAGTCATGGTGTGGCCTCCATCCTCCTCTGACCTCAATCCTATTGAGAATCTTTGGAGCATCCTCAAGCAAAAGATCTATGAGGGTGGGAAGCAGTTTGCATCTAAACAGCAGCTCTGGGAGGCTGTTCTGACATCTTGCAAACAAATTCAAGCAGAAACTGTCCAAAAACTCACAAGTTCAATGAATGCAAGACTTGTGAAGTTGCTGTCAAATAAGGGGTCCTATGTTAAAATGTAACGTGACCTGTTAAAATGTTTAAAAAGTTAAAATGTTGTTATAAGTTTGATTGAAATAGCTTTTGATTTCCGTAAATGTGCTGCAAACACAACAAATTAAAATTTTCAGTTCTTTACAACCTGTAAAGTGTTTTGAAACTTACTGTGCGTAATAATTTGGAACAGTGCATTGTACGTTTTTTTTATGTTTAAAAAAAATACTGTTATCATTAGGACGTTTGTTCAATAAAATTTGAATTGTACTCTTAATAGTTTACAACATGAGAATTATAAAAAATTATTAGTATCAGCGCTTAGTCGATATACCCCTATATATCTTATAGGGATCAACTCTAAAAATGAAACAATGAGAATTATGCTGACTGTTATTTACATCAATTATTTAGGTAAATGAGACAAATATCATTTGCATAATAATTTGGAACAGGGTGTAATAATAAATATACCTGGTTATAATACAGTCAGATAATCAGGTTCATTAAAGGTATTCTATAAAGTGTAAATACAAATCTGTTTTCCTACCACTAGAGTGCCCTCTTGTCGTTGTCCCCCGTCGTGGCACATACATTTTTATAAAAGCTTTATTTACTCACCGGATTCCAGCGCCGGTGTCGGAGCTCCACCTACTACAAAGTCTTCTGACAGGGAGAGACTAATGTGCACGCGCGGCAAGTGCCACAAGCGCATTATGCCTTCCCCATAGGAAAACATTAAGGACCACTATAGTGCCAGGAAAGAAACACGCCGGGCTGAAGTGGGAGGAAGGGGGTTAAACACTCAACTTTCTCCAGCGCCGGGCTCCCTCTGCGCTGGGGACTCTCCTCCTCCTTCGGTCGTCATCGGCTGAATGCGCATGCTCAGCAAGAGCCGCGAACGCATTCAGCCAGTCCATAGGAAAGCCTTCTCAATGCTTTCCTGTGGATGCTGGCGTCTTCTCACTGTGAAAATCACAGTGAGAAACGCGGAAGCGCCTTTAGCGGCTGTCAATGAGACAGCCACTAGAGGCTGGATTAACCCATTTGTAAACATAGCAGTTTCTCTGAAACTGCTATGTTTACAGCAGGCAGGGTTAATCCTAGATGGACCTGGCATCCAGACCACTTCATTAAGCTGAAGTGGTCTGGGTGCCTATAGTGGTCCTTTAAATCAATGCTTTCCTACAGGGATTTCACTGACGCAGATGCAAAGCGTGAGGACATCCAGCGTCATATAAAGAGACTCAGAGTCCTGTAAACTCCCGGAAGTGCCTCTAGTGGCTGCCTTAGTACTGCAATATGAACATTGCAGTTTCTCTAAAACTAAAATGATTTACATTTGCAAGGTTAATGGAACAGGGACACTGCACCCACACCTCTTCATTGAGCTGAAGTGGTGTGGGTGAATATAGAGCACACTTTTAGGAGCATGTTCAGCAGCTCCCTGGTTTTCATATATTAATATATTTGGGAGTCTAGGCAAACTAGCTGGTTTTGCACCAAACCCTGGCACAGGGCCCTATTTAAATGTGTACCGCAGAGAGCCCTAGAGATCCCCCCGCCCCCCAAATACAAATAACTTAAAATCTGTAAGCTTTAAAGTTGCTGTTACGTGGATGAGGGAATGCGCTGGATTTTGTGTTTATAGTGTGCCTTTAACACACCAGAGCACTTGTATGGAGAGATTCAATTCCTGAGACAATACGAAGCTGAGGTCAGGATACCAGAAATCACGAGTCAAAAACGAAGCCGAGGTCAAACACAGAAAACCATAAGAGAATCACTAGGAGCACTAAACGAGGTTCTAACAGAAACCACGATAGGGCATTGAATGGGGGCTAAAACAATCCTTAAACAGGCTTACCTATGGACTAATAGGTCCACGTCATCACTGCAATCCAAAACAGATTAGCATCTCAATGATGCCGTGGTCACTTTAAGAGTGGGCCTAACGTCACGTCCACATCTATATATATATATATATATATATATATATATACACACAGTGGGACCTCGGTTTATAAACGCCTCAGTTAACATAATTTTCGGTTTACAAATGAAAATCCATTGGAAATAATGCCTCGGTTTACAAAAATGTTTTCGCAACTCAAACCAAGTTTCCCCAGGATACATTATACCTAGGAGGTTTATAGCACTGCCCCCTGCATGCTGGAGCCTGTGGGTAGCACTTGGCATCGAGTGTGGAGGTGTTGGAGCGGCTTTTGCATCGAGTTTTAGAGCCATTCTGGAAATTGTGTTCAGTTGTTTTGGGACTTTTTGGTGCATTTCTCAAGCTGTGGAAAGGTAGGGAGCTGAGCTTTGTTGTTTCCATGCCTTTTTATTGTGTGTTCTGCATTGTGGGTTGGTTTCCATGCCAGCTCATTTTGACTTCTTTCTGACTTCCAAAACTGATTAATTGTTTTTCAATGCATTCCTATGGGAAACCGTGTTTCAGTTTACAAATTTTTCGCAATAAGAAACATCCCGGAGAACGCATTAAATTCATAAACCGAGGTCCCACTGTATATATATATATATATATATATATATATATATATCCTGCCGCACGGCCGCGTAGTTTTGTCATACCGCGCGGCAGGAGGAGGTCGTCTAGGTTCAACTGAGGTGAGTCCCTCTCAGTGGGCTGTGTGGTCGCGGAGTGATTGCACAGCGCGGCAGGATATAGACTAGGATCAAGGGAGGTGAGTTTCCCTCATTGTGCCACATGGTTGCATGGAGCAGTCGGACCGCGTGGCAGCAGGGAGTCCATAGGTAAATAATGCCACATAACCCCCTCCCCAGGGAGGATACGCCCACTGGGCGCGAAGGACCAGGCTTGTCCGGGTGATGGTGATGAAAAGAACGGACCAACCGTGGAGCATGAATATCAATCCAAGGGATCCAGTAACATTCCTTAGAACCATATCCCTTCCAATGGACGAGATACTGGAGGCTACCCCTTAGGAACCTGGAGTCAAGGACAGCAGCAACCTCATATTCCTCCACCCCTTCAACCGATACAGGAGGTGGAGAAGTGCGTGGTTCAGTAAACCGAATAGAGATCAGAAGTTTTAACAAGAAGTTATGGAAAACATTAAGAATACGCATACGATACAGGATTCACTATGCACAGGATGCGGAAAGGACCAACGAAACGTATGATGATACGTAGCTTTTTGTCCACCTTCACTATGGGTACTTCACTGTTTTACATGCTTGTTTTTCCTCTTTAATCTCATGTTATGCCTCTTTATATATGTAAATACTTCCTTGTTTCCGTTTGTAACGGATCGCCTGGCACCCCGACTGGGTACCTCCGTTAAAGGATGCTCCTAGCGCTTCCTGAGGACTCCAAGCACTGCAGCAGACACCACAACCACCGAACCGGAGAAGCATATGA